TTATTTATTTATTTATTTATTTATTTATTTATTTATTTATTTATTTATTTATTTATTTATTTATTTATTTATTTATTCATTCATTCATTCATTTATTTATTTATTTATCGTTAACCCCCCCCCCCATTTGTCAAATAATAACAATGTCAAATAGAGAAAAAAGGATTAAACAATAACAACGTGATTCAACTAATAAATAGAAAGATATATAATATATAAAGTATTAAAAATATAAAACTACCAGAGCAATTGCATAGGAGAAAAACACACGGACCCAAAGCCATCGGTGAGTATTACCTATCCGCTCTGTTGTAAATCTACACTACACTTTTATTGTTTTTACTATTATTGACAACTTCTTTATTTTCTTTTCCCTTACCATCACCATCATGTCGTCGATCTCTTTTTATTAACCCATTCATGGATTGCTTCTATCGTTTCTTCCTAGATTCGTTTTCTTTGATAGTTGAGTCAGCAATACTTTCCCTCTATTAAATGAAAAATTGGGTCCAGCTCAGCCTTTTATCAAATAAGTGTTTAAAAAACTTTCAATTTCTTCCAAGTATTTTTGATCAATAATTAATTCACTTGATGTATTAATCATTTTATCAATTTTTGGTTATAGATTATGGCACATGTAAATTTATAATTAAACAGAAAAAAAACCACAAGTAAATACACTGGTAAAAGCAAGCATTTTATTAGATGAAAAATATTATTTAATATTGTTTGCTTTTTACAACGTGTCCAACAATGATTATTGAAAGATTTATAGTTTGGGTTTTTTTTTATTTGAGGATGAGTGTAGATGATGTTTTTCATCGAAAACAAAGCGAGATTATCAAATAGTTGATGATTTACGTTGTTTTTGATGCAAATAAAGATTTATTTAATAAATATTTGAATGTGTAACATTTTTATAATTATTGTGTAGATATTGAAATAACAATTTTTCTTATGGATGATTTGATGTATGTGACAAGAATTAATCAAGCTGAAACATATGTGCAGATAATCAATTAACTATTTTTAGTCATTTATTTATTATTAAAAAAGGGATTGAGAATCGTAATAATTTTTGATACATTATGTTCACATTGTCTAGTTATGTTGCAGTAATATAACTTTAGATGCGATGGTGATGGTGATGGTGATTTGAGAATACGAGACAAAAAATTTTAAATTATTTAATTTTTTTTATTTCTTTGCGAAAATTTTTAATTTTACAATAATATATAATAATAATTCCAATTAATAATATAATTCCAATAAATAATATATAATATCCTAATTAATAATATGATTTCCAATAATTCAAAATTTGAGGGTAGTGTAAATTTTTTAAAATTTTATTTTTATATATTAACCATGGTAAGCCAAAGGTTGATCAAACAACG